TCATGACATTAAGCCATAAAATATCCTACAATTTCTTAAAGAAATCAAACTGTATTCCAAAATATAAATTCAACAAAACGACAGAATAAAACACATAGATCACCGCCTCTAGTAATCATATCTTCACAAACATTTATACGCACAAAAGCTAAGTATCATCTACCATGTATTCAACTGTGAAAACATAATAATATATCTTTTTATTACTTAAGAAAATCGAATTTCAGCATTAAATGACCCATGAAATTTTGACATGCCTTTAAACGAACAAATCAAATCAAAATTGAATAACACTGTAGCAACTATAACAGACGACAATGCATGAAGACTTTCAATAGAAATAATTAAAATGGATAGCACATGATAAGGAAAAGTCATGACATAATCAAGATAGTGACTTTCCATACTGCTTGAAACAAAAAATTAGGAAGGAAACGTCCCCCAGTACGGGAAATTGCGGTAACTATTTTAGGGCTTGGAGAACCATTTTTGCAGAAAAACTGTTTTAGGAAAAATATTCTATAAATTTCAACTAAGAGTAGCACGGGTTGTTTGATCACCGATTGCGTAATGTTCGCTCAAAAAGAAACCCTTAACTCCTATTACCATATGAGAGTCAAGATCTGAATTGTCTATTTAAGAACATGGCACTCGTTTTGTGTTCAATATTTTGGTTTTGTTGAATCTTAGGATGAAAGTGAAAAGAAGAACCTCGAGAGCAGCCCTTCTTTTTGTTGTGGATTCCGGGAGGAAATCCGGTCTCAAATGAATGACAAACGCAGGAATGAAATATAGCAAATAAATGTATTGACGTAATAATACAATTGGTAATACAGTTAGTAGATCCAGAAATGCGGTTAGTAGCAATAATAATATATATATACAGTCTAGGAAATTCAGTATCAAAATATGACTTCCTTCCGAGTCTACGTGCTCGCAACTGTGACTCCTACAAAGCGGTTACCTCACACTCTCACTCTCTCACTGTATCACTCCCGGGTATTCACCGGCAGCAGTACAATTACACACTGGCCGAGTCCACTTGTATGAAAAAGGGGTGGACCCCATAACACTTGTATTCAATGTCCTTGTCTCCTATATTAATTTAACAGATCCGAGAACCAGTTTATTTGAACATTTCAGAAATCGCTAATTCAATTTTCTGGGATTTTATGAAGAATTCAGGGTGGCAGCACCCGTTGCTCTTGATCAGATTCCAGGTCATTGTTTGCAAAGAAATTATCTAAGTCATAACTTGTTTAGCATTTTTTTGATCAAGGTCATTCTGATACCAAAGTTGAAGACGGGAAACCTTGTATAGCAAGTGAAGATCAAAATAGACATTCTTCTTACCCCACACCTTTAAATAGCAAGCTTAACTTTTTCAACAAAGTCGGAAGTATCAGGCAATTGGTGAATATTAGTCTTGGTCAAACATACTAGTCTCATTTAATTATTTTTATTAAGCTGTGCCACATCTGAGCTACGCTGGGAAAACCAACATACTTTCAGAGCCCACTTCCTTCCTTCTTGCTTGTATTACGCCATACGTTCCTATACTTATTTTCTGTTTCGTCTTTGCTTATTGTATTATTCCTCTTCTATTATTCTTCGTGTACTACTCTCCACACTTTCCTAATATTCTTCTTTCATTCTTTTCTTCTTCTTCTTCTTCTTCTTCTTCTTCTTCTTCTTCTTCTTCTAGTATCACGCCCAAGCCTTTCTTCTTTTATTTCTCTTTCACCTACCGGTGTGTTCGCTTAAACACAGTTATTTTTAATTTCATTTTTTTTAATACACCAATATTTTCCAAATTTTCTTTTTATAAACGTTCACCTTGAAACATTTTTTCTTTCTGTTTGGCTTACTTCACCCATTGTACCTCTAGCCTTCCCCCTCTTCTGAATGCCTTTTTTTTTATATCGCCTTATCATATCTTCGTTCTCCATATCTCTAGTTTCGAAGCTCTCCATCCGCCATTTCATTATCTGCCATGTGTTAGTTAGATCAGTTACGACTGAAAAGTGAAATCGATCTTCATTTGGTGCCCCAATAATTTAGGCCTTGAGCCACCTCTGTGCTACGTTTTAAAAATTACCATGCTTTTCAACTCCTCATCTTTCCTACCTTCTTATAAAGCCATATATTCCTATACTGTTTTTCTTTTTCGTCTTCTCTTATTACTTTCTTTCTTTCTTTCTTTTTTCTTTCTTTCTCTTTCTTTCTTTTTCTTTCTTTCTTTCTTTCTTTCTTTCTTTCTTCTTCTTCTTTATGTCGTCGTCCTGCTCTTCACCACCTTTCTTCTTCTTCTTCTTCTTCTTCTTCTTCTTCTTCTTCTTCTTCTTCTTCTTCTCTTTCTTGTACTTCTACATTCCATAATTTCGTAATACACTTCTTTTTTGTGTTTCTTGTATTACACTCCATACTTTCAAATTCTTTGACCACTTCGACGTGGTGTAATTGTTAGATCAATTACGACTGAAAAGTGAAATCGATCCTCACTGGGTGCCCCTAAACATTCGGCTTTGTGTTTCATCTGAGCTACGTTTAGAATATCACCATACATTCCAACTCCACTTCCTTCCTCCCTTCTTGTATTACTGCATACGTCCCTATATATGTATATGGATTTGTGCTCCAGTAGATCCTAAGACGAGAAGAAACAACCTTGTTTATTCAAGAGAGTCAAATAATAGTGTTGTCGATCATCTAAAAATCTGTGATGGCAAAGTCAGTGTATTCACCACGTCTTGATTATTTTAGTCTAAATTCTTTTCTTATCTTTAGTTATATATATATATATATATATATATATATATATATATATATATGGGGTGTAAGTGAACAATGAAGTCAACACTCAGAGGCGACAGACTTTCATGTTAAACGTAATCATCAAGCAAATTGCATTGTGTTTTTTCACAACCATTCATATGTATGGAGCAGTGATGCATTATGGGTATTCTATTGCATTGTGGGTAATCTATTCTAACGGATATTTTGATGGTTGTGGTTTGTTGAATTGTTTATTATTTACTTTATTTTTTGGGATTAATTTATTTTACTTGTTTCTTCTTATTTATTTTTCTTTTACTTATTTATTTATTTATTCTTTTCGGTTTTCGATTTTTAAGTAACGTAGTAAAAAATTGTTTTCGTGCCGTCATTTTGAGTTCTGATCGTTTATTTAGTAGTTTGATTTTGGTCTGGAAAGATAATGATAGCTATTTCTTCCTCCAAGCAGATTTTGCAGTTTTTGAATTTATTTTTGTAGGCTGATTTATTTTGACATACATATTGTGCACTTTACCCTATAAATATAGCATAGTTTAAAACTATATTTATTAAGACATATGTATATATATATATATATATATATATATATATATATATATATATAATTAATTTTTTAAAAAATATGATTCATTCGCTACATAAGAGTTCTCATGTTTCAAAAACGAGAGCCGAAACCCTCAATATAATTATTAAAATTAAATTGAATTAAGGTATCAAGCCCTGTTTCATCCTCTAGCGAAAATTTAGGAATAACCAATCTTGAAATTTACGCATTAATTACTATGGAAACGGCCCCCTATCAAAATGGTTGCCCCAGCCGTTTCCCTAATAATTAATTATGCGGGCGAACATGCGTATAAAGATGCGTGAGTGCAGTGGTGCATACATAGATAAGAAAATAAATAATTACCAAATTCAGCCCAGAGGTGTAGACATAATAGTGCTCGATGGGATTAGACAGAGCTAAAAAATATAATAAAATATATATCTGGTGCCCGACATGTTGGGTAAACGAGAAACTTTTAGCCTCACACCAAACGTAGATACATCTGTATATATATATATATATATATATATATACAGATGTACCTAAACAATTTCGTTGTTTACCCAACACGTTGGGTACAATATATAGCTTACTATATTTTTAGCTATATATATATATATATATATATATATATATATATATATATATATATATATGCATGAATAATATTTCAAAGGCCATGTGCTTGAACCCAACCAAATTCACTGAAAGAGGGAACCTTTGCTCAAGTATCCTTCTTATAACTTGAAGGCCACCTTTAATATATATATATATATATATATATATATATATATATATATATATATATATATATATATATATATATATATATATATATATATATATATATATATATATATATATATATATATATATACATACATACATACTCTTCGCAAAGCGAATCGAGTCACTGTCGGTCACTGGGCGTGTTTCTAAAAGTAAATACGCTAAAAATCCGGCTTCATCCCTACCATGACGGCTTAATGGTTAGCATCTCCGACTGACACCAATTCAGTCGGGTTTCGATCCTAGCTAGAGGCAACCGGGTGTCTAGCCGCACTGATGAGGTGCGAAACAGTCTGTCTGTGGATGACATAGTTATATAGAGGTAGATAGATAAATGTGTACGGTATGTACGTATAGATTTAGTTGTCTACTATTTATATATAAGAATATAATAAGATTTAGTTGTCTAACTATTTATATATAAGAATGTATTCAAATGATTTTTGATATGTTTAAATATATACATCCTTCTTAAAATGTTAATGAACTTTAGTAATTTCTCATCCATGTAAAGAGTTTTGCACGCGTTTTTTAATTTTTTTTTTATTTATTCGCTTGTGATATGTAATAAGTAAATTATTGAAATTGGCCTGTTTCATATTTTCTCCTTTCTTTTTTTTCCCCTCTTTTTATTAATAGCATTCTGACTTTGGTCGTTCATCTTTTTTTCGTATTTTTGTGTCTGTTGTTGATGATTTTTCTACCTGTATGAAATGGAAGAGAAAAGAAATGGCGGATGGAGAGCTTCGAAACTAGAGATATGGAGAACGAACATGTGATAAGGCGATATCAAGAAAACGTCATTCAGAAGAGGGAGAAGGCTAGAGGTGTTATGGATGAAATGAGCCAAAATGAAAAAAAAAATGTTTCAAGGTGAACGTTCATAAAAAGAAAATTTAGAAAATGTTGGTGTATTAAAAAAAATGAAATTAAAAATAAGCGTGTTTAAGCCAACCCAGCGGTAGATGAAAGTGAAACAAATGAAGAAAGACAGGGCAATGATACTAGAAGAAGAAGAAGAAGAAGAAGAAGAAGAAATGTGGAGAGTACTACAAGAAGAATAAAATAAGAGGATTAAGAAAATTAGGAGTGTAATAAAAGAAAACGAAAAAGAAAAGAATTAATACAAGAATCGTAGGAAAGAAGAGGAATTAGAATGTATGGTGATTTTCTAAACGTGACTCAGATGTGGCACAAGGCCGAATGTTTGGGGGCACCCATTAAAGATCGAACACACTTTTCAGTCGTAATTTACCTAGCTTACAATTACACCAGGTTGAAATGCTCAAAGAAATTAAAAGTATAGAGTGTAGTACGAGAAACAGAAAAAAAATGAATATTAAGAAATTATGGAGTGTAGAAGAAGAAGAAGAAGAAGGAGGAGGAGGAGGAGGAGGAGGAGGAGAAGGGGGACGAGGTGAAGAAGAAAGAACAAAGGAGCAGGCGAAGGAGAATGAGTAGACGAAAAAGGAGGGGAGGAGAGGGAGGACTAGATGAAGAAGAAAGACGAAGACGACGAGAAGAAGAAGGGGGATGAGGACATGAAGAAGAAGAAGCAGGTAGGTTGGTAGCGGGGGAGAAGAATTAAAAGAAGAGGAAAGAAGAATGTGGGGGTGGAGGACGACGACGAGATGTAGAAGAAGAAGAAGGTGGAGGAGGAGCAGATGATAAGGAGCATGGAGCAGGGTAGAAAAAGAAGAAGAAGAAGAAGAAGAAGAAGGAGGAGGAGAAGGAGGAGAAGGAAGAGGGGAAGGAAGATGAGGTGAAGAAGAAAGAGCAAAGGAGCAGGCGAAGGAGAATGAGTAGACGAAAAAGAACGGAAGGAGAGGGAGGACGATATGAAGAAGAAAGAGGAAGACGACAAGAAGAAGAAGGGGGATGAGGACACGAAGAAGAAGAAGCAGGGTAGGATGGTAGCGGGGGAGAAGAATTAAAAGAAGAGGAAATAAGAATGTGGAGGAGGAGGACGACGACGACGAGATGTAGAAGAAGAAGAAGGTGGAGGAGGAACAGATGTTAAAGAGCACGGAGCAGGGTAGAAGAAGAAGAAGAAGAAGAAGAAGAAGAAGAAGAAGAAGAAGAAGAAGAAAAGGGAGGATGGATGCGAGATGAAGAAAAAGAAGGAGAACGGGAAAGACGATGACGAGAAAATGTAGGAGCAGAAGAAGAACTACAACAACAACAAAAGCAACAACAAGAACAAGAATAAAGAAGAAGAAGGAAGTATGGCGTGTCATACAAGAAGGACAAAAGAAGCAGAAGATTAGTAATGTATGGAGAGTAATACACGAAGCTTTGAAATTATGGAGAGTAATAGCAAAATAAAAAAGAAGGGTATGCGGAAGAAAGTATAGCACGTAATACAATTGATAGAATAAGAACAGTTTGGAATGAAGTCAATTGATTAATTAAAAAATAGGAGATGAAATGTCCTAAAGTAAAAATAATGAATGAAAAAGTGAAGGGCAAACGTATTATTGGGTGTGTAATCAGATTCATGCAACTATGTGAAGAGTCAAGCAAGGAAAATCTAATCTGAATTTTGGAAAAAATTAAAAAGAAACGAGAATGGTAGAATAAGAAACAGAGAATCGATGAACCAAAAATTCATAACAATATCTACGGAATAAAAGAATGAAAACACAAACGGTCTTGCAAAATTCTTTCTTCTTTTTATGTGCCGTATCCTTTCAGGACGTAGGCGATCATGGCTCTCCACTTCCCCCTATCCCTTGTAGCTCTCAATAAATTTCGTCTCTCTGCCACCTACCCCAGACCACGTTCTGTTATTCACGTGCTTAAGCCTGTCAGGTATATCATGCGTTTCTTTCCCTTGTCTCTCCCTAAATTCGACCTGTGAGTATCAGATTCTCCAGGTCCTCCTTTCTCATTACTTGTCCCAGAAACTTCATCTGCCTCTTGCTGGTGTTAATTATACGCTTCTTACTCTTCAAAACCTCATCGTTGTTCACACGTTCACTCCATGATATCCTTAGCATCCTTCTGTAGAACCATACCTCCGTTGCCTCGAGTCTCTTCTTCATCTTTGAGGAGACCGTCCAACATTCTCTGTCATAGAGAAGGACAGATATCACGTAGATATCAGTTCAGTACCAAGGAAATCCGCCTGGCTCGTAATATTCCGCCTAGCATTTGGAATGCAACTTTGGCCAACCCAATACGTCTTCGGATATCAGCGTAGTATTTACCGTCCTCTGTCAGAACACTTCCCGGGTATTTAAACTTCCGCGCATGCTTGATTCTAGTGTCCCCGACCAGCAAATCGCATTTTGGGCTCATCTTTTTACTGATGACCATGCATTTTGTCTTCTAGTTTATGGTTAGTCCTTTCTTCTCGCTCTCCCTCGCTACCTTCTGTAGGAGATTTTGTAGTTTCTTTTCCGTGTCAAGAAATAAAATAACATATTTAGGAAAGAATGAAAAGAAAAGAAACGATGTAAAAAAAAAATAAGTGAAGGGAAAAAAGCTGGAAGGAGATTTCTGAAGACATGCTCATTTGTTTTTTATTACAAACTGTGTTCTTAACATAAAGCATCAATAATATTTTCGTAAGATTTTCGATTTCCTATGTAAAGGATACCTAACAGTATCATAAATCGTATGCAACTCTTACGGATGTCTCTATTTTTAAAGACGTTTGCCTCATCATTTTATCGACAATGTCATTGATAGCTCTAAAATCTCGTCAAATTCCAATTTTTATACGCATGGAAGACGTAAAGTGACTTGTCATCACGTGTCTTTCGTCGGAACCAAAAAGCATTACATTTTAAACATATGATTTTGTGACACTGACAAATCCAGGATTGAACGAAAAATAAAAGTAATGCCGAATAACATGCCGGTGTTCAAAAAATATTGGAATAAACAAGGCTTATAAATTCGTATGTTTTTTTTTTTTTTAAATCCGAAACAATTTATTTTCTCAGATCGATAAATCCAAAAAGAAATGTTCATCTCTTAATAATTAATAGAATAATTAATAGAATAATTAATAATTGATGTTGATGTTTTGAAGAGGAAAGTATATTAGCAGATATAGAGAGTGAAAGTTACAACTAGAGAAGCATATTCCTTTAAAAGGTTAATTAAACCATTAACCTTTTAAAGGAATTGCCTGCAAGGCACTCGGTAGCCGAATGTTAAAGTCACGTCTGGGAATGAACAGGGAATAAAGATTAATTCCCTACCTTGAGTTGTATTTAGTTTTATAATTTAGACCCATCTAGGGGACGAGAGAAATAGATTAATACTTCTCCCAAGTGTATTTTCGGGTAAGTGAACGGAACGAACTCTACTGGAACAAACTGGAACGCTGCTCGGCAGTTTTTCATCCCCAGTCGTAATCAATTACACCACTCGCACACCTAAACCACCGTAGGCTCTTAATAACTATATACCGGGTGTAACAGCAAAATTGTCCCAACCGTGCTACAGCAAAATTGGGCAATTCTTAGATTAAGATTTTGAAACATTGTATCTTAGAAATGATTAAAGATATCTTACTGGAATTCTCCGAGGTTTTTATAACACTACTGGATTCTACTTTGAACAATAAGAATGTTTAAGCCTAAAGTTGAAAGGATGATCGCTCTTCCTGTTGTGACCTCATGATCCAGTTTTTACTCTCTACTGTTCCCGTTTTGTTTAAGCATAATCATCGTTTTCTTGATGGTTCTTGAATAGACTTTGAAGATGGAAACCAGGGTATGAATGTTCGTACAATTACTAAAGGCCTGGAAGATCATTTTCCTCTCACCATTGCCCAATTGTGAAGACATAGTGCGGCTGAGACAAAATGATTTAACTTCTTCTCTTTCTAGCTGAATAACTCACCGAGTTTTCAGTTATTCTTAAGCCAAATGATATCAAGATGGCTAAACATCTGAAAGAAAAAAAGAAACTTAATTAGTTTAGTCTTTTTTTTTTAGATATTAAACATTTTGTGGGACGGACAATTATGGTGTAACACCGGTATATATATATATATATATATATATATATATATATATATATATATATATATATATATATATATATATATATATATGGATATGCGGATTCGGTTGAGAATCCGAGAGCCGAGTTCGAATTCCAGTCGAAACCATTACATTCACTTACGTGCTAATAGCCTTGGGAAAGGTATGAATCCTCTTCCTCTCCCTCCAGCTATGGGTAAAATAGCAGGGCAGACTGGGTTCTATAGCCTTGGATGGCAACTGGTCCAGGAGAAGGACAACTCTGTTTGTTTGGGGACCTTGTGGCGCGTAGTGAACCAGGTCTTCAAAAAGTGGATGGAAACCTTCACCACTATAATCAAATCACATATGCTGTTATCGGGCTGTCGGTTTCCTAAAAACTGATCTGCTTGATCCTCATACGTCGTCGACGGTAGAATCGATATATATATATATATATATATATATATATATATATATATATATATATATCATGAATCATTCATACAAAAAACAAATATAGAGGTTAATGATTTAAATGGCGAGAATACATCTTTGCAAACAATATAAATAAACCTCTATACATCATTAACCTCAATATTTGTTTTTTGTATGAATGATTCATGAATTTATAAATTATAATTTGCACCTTTAAATGAAATATATATATATATATATATATATATATGAGGGCCTGTAATTATCGTCACGAAAACCTCAAGGAATGTAAATAAAAATTATATGAACACAAAGGGGAAATTTAGGAAAATAGTACATCAAATTCCTTGATTGCCAACAGTGACGAAATTAACTTCCACTTTGGCATAAAAAAAAGCTACTCTGATCAAAGGAGAAAATAATTAACTAGGACGTAAATGTCTGGAGTGATTTAATCCCAAGGTCAATTGAGTATATTTCCGCCTTGGCACTTCACAACATTTTACCATTCCTAGCTGATCTTCTAATACCAACTTATAAAAGTAATGGAAAGAAAAGGAAATGACTCAATGAATTCGGATGATAAAAAAAAACATCTAAAATTCCTAGCACCTCTCTGCCGAGCGCATGTGCAGCCTTATCAACATAACAAATTTAGTCCGAAGGACGAAACGCGTCACAAGTTAAATTTTTACACTTTCTCATACAATTTCCCCATATATATTTATTTGAAGAATCGAGACATTTCTCATACAGTCTCAGTTACGCTGGACTGGTCATGTCTTGAGAATGCCTGATGACAGGATACCCAAGATCCTAATGTGCAGCCAGTTAGATCAGAGCTACAAGAATGTAGGACGCCCATGGCTAAGATACAAAGACAACCTGAAAAGCAACTTGTCAGCTGTCAATATACCACATAACATCCTTGAGGGCTTCGCCTTGGAGCGGGTAGAATGGAAATCAACGTGTTTTAGTGGACTTAGCAATTTTCAATCTGCTTGTCTGAATCATCTTCAAGAAGTGAGAGCAAGAACTAAAAGGTCAGAAAATCTAACAGTGATCTCATCTCACAATCCTCAATCTTGCTCCATATGTGGCCTCCTTTGTAAATCACTAGCTGGTCTTAAATGCCACTTAAGATTATCGTACAAAATTTCATGACTGAATCAACTAGGCTGTCAGATTCCATTATATATATATATATATATATATATATATATATATATATATATTTATTATTATTATTATTATTATTATATTTTTCTTGTAAGATACTAAGTAACTTTTTAAGGAATCTTTTAAAAAGTGTTAATTCTTTTCCGAAAATTAAAGTTTGGGGTGGCGAGAGCAACATTTTGTTTTTAAATTTCCTTAAGAAATCATTTAATCACCAGTTACTTATTATCCCCTGAAGAAGTCCAATCAAAGGATTGAAACATGAAAACTTTCTTGTAGAGTTTTCAAAATGTTTCTTATTAAAATATCTTATAATAAAAATATAATAATAATATATTGTTCTACTTTGTATTGAACACTTTTTTCAAAAGTAAATGCTATGAACAGTGGAATTTTACTCCATATTTTCTTTTTTCTCATTTGGATATATATATATATATATATATATATATATATATTATATATATATATATATATATATATATATATATAGTGGAAACTAAAATGAAATAAAAAGGTTAATAATAACGCATATATATATATATATATATATATATATATATATATATATATATAGTTTTCATTTCAGAATTTATGTCGTATCGAAAAAGATATTCTTACAAGCAGTAAGTTGGTATTTGGGTAGACGACATCTTGAAAGAAAAATGGTTTGGAGCCGAAATGTTGTGAGTATAATAGACAAGACAAGAATTCTGGTCGAAAGTTAAGGCTTTGATGAACCAGAGACACAGGTCTTTGAGTAGATCAAGCCCTGAAGGTAAAATGAGGCGAAATTTAGAAGCATTAAAACAATATATGCGAGACTGGTTAAAATGTTAAATTCGAGTGAGGGTTTAGATCAGCGTTTCCTAAAGTGGACAATAGCGCTCCATTTTAAGCTCTGATATGCTGAAAGGGGTCACTGGGATATTTTTTTTATTTCATTTTGGAGGGGGCGTTGAAAATACTCAAGTGGGATTTTTTTAAAGATTTCAAAAATTATTAAATATTGGCTACAAAAGAAAATTTCCTAATGTGCTATGGAAGTCTGCCAAACATTTCTTCATTGTTTTTCAACTTCATATATATCTGAATGTGGTTTCAACGCAGTTACAGAGATTCTTACTAAACAAAGACACTGCCTGAAAATTACAAAACAAGAAGCATGGAACGTAGACTAATAGCCTTAGCCAGTAAGCACCAAAGTCAACCATTGCATTGAAAACATTGAAATAAGCTATCAAATGAACTTAGAGTAAGAGTCTAAACAGTATGCACCAAAGCCAATGTGTTATCTATGCTAGTTATAATCTACTTTTGTTTTATAGTGGTTTTAAAATTGCTTGTGGACTATATATATATATATATATATATATATATATATATATATATATATACTCCTACGGAAAATTTAATTCCGTGAGAGCACTCTTAAGGGAAAGCGCGAATTTTAAACAAAGGCTACTACTGCTAATACTACAAAGTTCTTCGATGAATTGAGCACTGTCGGTCTTTGGCGTTTTTCATCGAAGAATAGGTAAGTAAATATTCGTCTTCCTGTCTACCGGGCGCTGATAGCTCAGGGGTAAAATATCCGACTTAAAGCAATCTGATGTCTAGCCACACTAATGAGCTGTGAAACGGCGAAACAGGCTCTATGTCAATAACAATATATATATATATATATATATATATATATATATATATATATATATATGTATGTGTGTGTGTGTGTGTGTGTGTGTGTGTGTGTGTGTGTGTGTGTGCGTGTGTGTAGTCAACGACGAAATTATTCACACACAATCAATTTTTAATATTTTTATCCATTTCTCAGAATCTAATGCCCGTATGGTGCCAGGTTTCTTTCTGCGTTTCTGTTAACGTGGTATTTATAACCGATAAATTATGAAATAAAAGTACAATTGTGTTTTTTTTTTTTTTTAAATAAAACTAGTGATATGTAAATAGAACGAACGTTATTTCTTTTTATCTAAATTGGGAAAAGTTTAACACATTTTTTACGATATTAAAAGAAAAATAACTGTTTTTTGTTTATATACCCTCTGTTTTATTTTAAAAAATATAGAAATAAAATAAAACTAAATTCACTTAACCCAACCACACGTCAAGCCCTTTAATAAGGCTAAAAAATTTTCACACCTTTTGCTTACGTCTTGTAAGCGGGGTTTATCCCCCACCAACTGACAGCGCCTTTAAAAGACAATTTTTTTTTATGCTGGCTGGCTTTGAGCCAGCCATAACAAAGACAAATTGGCTTCTTTTGAACCCTATCTTCTTCCATATCGCTGCTATTTTGGGGGCAAAAGTTATTGAAATTATGCTATTGAATTTTTTTTTTATTTTCAGAAAACTCACCGCGGACCAAACGTACCGC